CCATCACTCGTTGATCATAGTCCTTGCCCTGGAGGAAGCCACACAGGGTCCAGACTGTCTAATCAGGGAGGCAGACACATCAGAAGATAGCTTGCTACAGTTTGCTCCAGGTGTTTGTAAAGGGAGGAGCAGGATTTCTGTGGGATCCAGAGAAGACTGTGGAGTGGGTGGTCTTGAGCTGCACTTTCAGGATGGAAGGAGTATGTCAGGTGAAGAGAGTGGGGAGTGTAGTGCAGGCCGACTCAGGATCACGTGTGATCATACGGAGCAGGGAAAGAAATGATGGGGTGGCATTCAGTTCATTTTATTGCATTAATAATTAATATTTAGGGTTTGTTATTTAGATATAGTTTGCACAAAGTACACAAATATCACAAATATTTCTGCCCATTATTTCTTCAAAAGTCTCTGTTCTCCACCCTTCCTAGGATTCCAATTACGCATATGTTAGGCCATTGATAGTGTCTTACAAGTCACTGAGGTTCTGTTTTTTGTTTGTTTATTTGTTTGTTTCCCAGCTTGCTCTCTTCAGTTTAGATAGTTCCTATTGACATGTTTTAAGATCACTGATGTTTTCTCCTACAGTATTAAATTTGCTCTTAGACCTAGCCAGTGAGTTTTTTAATTTCAGATCATGAATTTTTGTCTCTGGAGTTTGATTTTATTCTTTTAATGATTTTACTTTTATCACATTATAGTAATATTTTCCTTATTTAAGCACATTTTAAGTAGCTGTTTTAAAGCCCTTGTCTGCGAATTCTTCACTGTCTATTATATCTGGGGCTGTTTCTATTCCCTAATTTTTCTTCTGGTCCTGGGTCACATTTTCTTATTCTTGGAATGTCCAGCAATTTTTGATTGGATGTTGGACATCGTAACATTACAATTTCATTGTCTGGATTTTGTTGTCTTCCTTTATATAAAGTGTTGACATTTGTTTTAACAGGGAACTGAGTTACTTGCAGATCTGCTTGACCTTGTCGAGGCATGTTTTCAAGCTTTGTTAGGGTGAGTCTAGTGTAGTTTTAAATCAAAGTTAGTTTAGCCCTAATGCCAAGATGTGACACTTCTGGGTGTCTACTGAGTACCCCAGGTCTCTTAACTCCAGGTGGTTCTAACCTGAATATCCCCACACTTTGTGAACTCTAGGAATTGTTCTGCTTACATCTTCACAGTGGTTTTTTGTTTGTGTGTGTGTGTGTGTGTGTGTGTGTTTTCACTAACCATATGTAATTTCACTTTATGTGTGCAGAGCTTAGCACTTAGCTTTGCACTTAAGGAGACCCTATGCACATTTCTGAAGATCTCCTCTCTAGTACTATGCTGAACAAATTGTATCTTCCTCACTTTCTTAAACTCTGATGTCTGTCTCCCAAGCTCAGTCAGACTACCATGCTCTCCTTGGGTTTCCCTCCTTTTGCCCAGAATGTACCTTTAGGCAGAAAATTAGGGCAATCATAGGGCTTACCTCATTTGTTTCCCTTCTCTGCCTGTTGTCCAATGTCTGAATTATTTTCTGTATTTTCCAGCGTCTCAATTTTTTCATATATTTTATCCAGTTTTCTGTTTGCAAGTCCAATATCAGTTACTTTGTCTTGGCCGAAAGTGTAAGTCAACTCAAACTTTACATATGTATATACCTCTGTAACCTCACCTTAAGAAGATATAGAACTTTTCATAACCCTAAGAGTCCCTCTTGCTCATTTCCAGTCAGTATTACCCCTCAGAGGTAAAGTGATCCTTTAATCTATCTCAATTCATTCATTCATTTAGCAAATGCTTACAGAGCCCAATACTAATTGGCCAAACAGTAAGTGTACAGGGAGAACAAGGTAGACGACATCCCTTACTCGTGAACTGTTGAGTCACATGAACAAACATGAAACTATGGCAATCATAAGTGTTTTCACTAAGAAGCTAATGGCTGGTACTATAAAAACATTTAATAGGAGGAATTTTCCTTATCTGAGTGGTCAAAGAGAATTTCCTTGAGGAAATGACATGAGCTAAGACCTAAACAATGAGTAGGAATTAATTAAGGGAAAAGTTGGGATAAAGGAGTGGGAAGAACATTCCAGGATTAGAGAACAATGAATATCACATGTGAGCATCAAAAAATGGGCGGAATGGCCTGATACAGAAGTCAAGAGCAAGGAGTTTTGTGGTGTGACGTGTGATGAATTAGAGTGGTCAGTATGTTAGCTGAATTAAAGATTTCAGTGTTACTTTGGGAAATGGGAGGCTGTTTGGGACATTTTAAAATAGGTAAGTGACATGGTCAGGTTTGAGTTTTAAAAGATCATTCTAGCTGCCACATGTAGTGTGAATTGGAGGAGCAGGACGGGCTATGCAGAGACACCTGTTAGGAGGTTTCTGCAGTTGTCCAGGCAACAGGCAATGGCAGCACAACTAGCCCGCCAGTGGTGGAGGCAGAGAAAAGTGGATGGACCTGAGGAATATTTGGGAGGTAAAATTGACAAGACTGGTGATGGGCTGACACAGGGAATGAAGAAGGAAGTGCAAGGATGACTCCTAGGCTTGACTAACTAGGTGAGTGGTGGTACCAGCGGTTGTAATGCTGAAAAAGGGTTTCCGTTGTGACTGTTGCTGGAAGATGGTGCTTGGGAAAGAGTCTGAGTTCAGTTTGGGTCACACTGCACTTACGGTTCATTTGCAACCTCAGCAGGAGATACAGAGTAGGCAGCTGGATCTATGGAGTTCAGAGGACAGGACCGAGCTGGAGGTTAGAAACAATACATCCTTTGCATCTCTTAGTAATGAAGCCGTGGGCGTCATGGCATGAGATCATCTGGAGGGAGAGGAGAGATTAAAGTGAGGAGGGAGCTACAACCGAGTAACTGAGTGCCAAGGCTCGGCAACGTGCGAGGACCAGGAAGGAGACCAGGAGCACAGGGTGGGTAAGGAGGAAGCGCAGAGAGACGTGAAAGATCCAGGGGAACGTGGTGGCATGGAGCCAAAGGGGAGGACTGGATCAGAAGCCAAGTGCGGTCTTCAGTGCTGGATGCTACTGGGAGTCGAGGAAGATGGGATCCTAGACATGTTCGTTGCCTTTTAGCAACATCTGGATGAGGTTTCTGTGGACACAGGGGCCAGACTGGAGTGGGACAGGGAGGGAGTGGGATGTCTTTCGGAGGAGGTTAGGCAATTCCTTTCCTGAAGGTCTCTCTTTTATGCGAGGTAGGAGGCCACAGAGGCCATGGGCACACAGCTCCTGAGGACTCAGGCCACAGTGGGAGGAAGATGGAGATAGGGCAGTGGCCAGAGGGAATGAGAGGGGACAGGAGGGATTTTATCGTTGTGTTGAGGGTGGTGCTCTGCTTGTCTCAATGGGCAAGACTCGAATGTGTGTCAGAGTCAGTGGCAAGCATCTGGTTGAGAGGGAGTGTTTAAGCACAGAGGAGAGAGGTGGAAGGCCCCCTGATGGAGAGAAGAGACACTTCCCAAAGCTCAGGGAGGGGGACTGGTCTTCGAAGGAGGGGGGCTCCTCCGCTGTGCTGATAGAGTGGGGGAGGGGATGGAGGAAGGGTGCCTGGGAAAATAGGGACACGCAGAGAGGATGTCTTTTGGAGGAGGTTGAGGCGATTATTTTTTCTGAAGATCTCTCTTTTACGTGAGGTAGGAGGCACAGTTGTGTGCCGAGAGTGAGGGTGTGTGTGCGTGTGCATGTGTGTGTTTGTGTGTATGCGCACACCCATGTGGGCACACGTGCATATGTGGCAGGGTGGGCATTCACTTTAACATGGAAGAGGTTGACATGCTCCCCGCAGTCCGTGGGAGAGTGACTCCATCAGTTACATGCTGCCGGGCAGGTAAAGGTTGGTGACCGGAATGCACAGTGGGTCAGACTGCCGGGCCAGGCAGGAGCAGGCAGACAGGTGGGTTCTGTGGGTTTGGAGTCTGGCCAGAAGGGTGTGTCACAAAGACAAGGGCCCCATGGGTGGAGGGGATTGGGATGAAATGAAGCCCTTTGACACCCAAGCTGGATAAAGAGGCAAATGAAGACGGGGCCAGGGGTGCACAGGGAGAACAGGACAGTAGGGTGCTTGGAGATAAAGCTGGGGGGTAAGTCGTGGCCCAACAGAGAAGGACCTTGAATGCCAAGAGCATGGGCATTTCTCCTGAGCTCCGTGGGGAGCCGTGGAGGAGCTCCCAGATCTGCATCTGGGAAGCTCCCTGTCTGTGGGCGGGTGAGCACTGGCGGTGGGGTGGGGACGGAGAGTGGAAGGTGGAATGCAGCTGTGCTGCCAGAGGCTGGGAGGGAGGGCCCAGGTGCAGCTGGCCCAGGGGGAGCCCAGTGTCCCTGTCACTCCAACCAGTGCAGTCCACTGGCTGGACACAGGCACAACCCCAGGACACTACAGAGAGAGGGACAAAGGTCCCAGCAGGGCTGGCAGAGAGAAGGGGTGACCACAGAAGGACAGGAGCTTGGGATGGGGAGAGGCCAAGAGGGGAAGGCGTTGGACTTTAATAGCCAACTGACTGCACTTTCACCGGGGTTTTCCCCTGGGGTGTAAGGACCTGGCCCTTGAGGCCCATGGAGCCCCAGCCCCTGAAGGGAGGGGCCTTTTGAGACCACCTCTACCTATCCTATGAGAAGGAGTGACTTGTCTGAGATGACATGGAGGCAAGGGCCATTGACAAGCCAGGACACTTAATAGCCGCCTCCCTGAGTTCAGGGGGTCTCCCCTAATCAGCCCAGGCCCGAGAGGAGCAGGATCTGGGGCACGGAGTCGGATGCCTATAGTGGGCCATGTCTGCCAATGGGGAGGTGGATTCTCTGGGAGGCATAGCCAGGTGTCAGGAGGTGCCCCTGAGAGCCGCCCCCAACCCCAGGCAAAGCCTCTCCAGAGAGGCCATCCTGTTGGTCCGTACTGTGTTGCCGATGGCCTGGGGTGTTTAGGTCTCTGCTTCAGGGACTGCACCCTCAGCTTACTGCCCTCAACATTCTTACTTCTCTTGCAGACTTACTTTGTCCCAAAATGGCATCTTCCTTGTATGGGGTTCTCTTCATTGTTGGCCTGTGTGCTCCAATCTACTGTGCTCCCCCAGCCAATATCCCCAGAGGAGGATCCGCCTACCCTTCCTCCATAAAGAGCACCCCCACCTCCCCGGTGTCTTCCCACAACACTGACTTTGCCTTCCATCTGTACCGGAGGCTGGTTTTGGAGGCCCCGAGTCGGAACATCTTCTTCTCCCCCATGAGTGTCTCCACTTCCCTGGCCATGCTCTCCCTTGGGGCCCGTTCAGCCACCAAGACCCAGATCCTCCAGGGCCTGGGCTTCAACCTCACATGCATGCCAGAGTCCGCCATCCACCGCGGCTTCCAAAACCTGGTCCACTCATTCACTGTCCCCGGCAAAGACCTGAGGTTGCAGATGGGTAGTGTCCTCTTCATCAAGAGGGAGCTGCAGCTGCAGGCACGTTTCCTGGACAACATCAAAAGGCTATACGAGGCGAAAGTCTTTTCTACAGATTTCTCCAACACCGCCATTGCCCGGGCAAGGATCAACAGCTATGTGGAGAAGGAGACCAGAGGGAAGGTCGTGGACTTAATCCAAAGCCTTGACCCTCTGACAGCCATGGTGCTGGTCAACCACATTTTCTTTAAAGGTACGGATTTGAGAGGTTGATTTTGTTTTGTTTTGTTTTGTTTTCTTAGTCAAATATGCAAGGTAGACAAACCCTAGACAGCAGGGTGAAGCAGTGGGAGGGCCTGAGTTCTAATTAGCTTTGCAACTGGCTGTCTGCAGGACCTTGGCCACCTCGAGTTTATTCGTTACAGTGGGGATTCATTCAGTTCTGTCTTTGGACAGATTGATTAGATGTCTTGAGAAGCTGACATTGGACTCAGTGGGTAGCCCACAGGAAAAGTCTTCTGGAAACTAACTTGGGACAAAGGATCTCATCTCTTGCCCCACTGTTCCCTGAAGGTTTTAGAGGAGGGACACAGAGCTCTCTGGCAGACAGCTCAGTTTAAACAGCAAATCCAAGGATGAGAACACTTTCACAGGGGTGGAAATGTTGACAGGCCAGTGTAAATGTCATTCACATCCCCCATACAGCTGTCTAGAGCTTTACAGTTTGCACCATGTTGTTGTAGAATGCACATCAGCTTGGAAGTCTGGTTTGAATTTCATCTTTGCCTCTTATTTGCACCATAATCTTTAGCACATTGCTTAAAATATCTGGCCTGTATCAAGTGCCTGATTTGTACCGGTGTCTGTGATGAGTGCATGGGTGGATGATAAAGCCAACTTCAGAGGGCTGTGCTTGAGGTGGAAAAGCCCAGCCTCTCCAGGCAGAGTTATCATGGATGCTGCTATATCATCCCTCCCTCCTCCCCCACTGCCCTTCCGTTATGCCCTCGTCCATCTATCTGTCCACCCATTTAACCATTCACCAGTTCATACATCCATGCACCCATCCACCCTCCATCCACACATCCACCCATCCACCCTCCCTCTACCCATCCACCCTCCATCCGCCAATCCACCCTCCATCCACCCATCCACCCTCCATCCACCCATCTACCTTCCATCCACCATCCATCCACCCGTCCACCTTCCATCCACTCGTCCACCTTCCATCCACCCATTCACCGTCCATCCACCCATCCACCCTCCATTCACCCATCTACCTTCTATTCACACATCCACCCTCCATCCACACATCCACCTACCATCCACCCATCTACCTTCCATCCACCCTCCATCCACCCGTCCACATTCCATCCACCCATTCACCCTCCATCCACCCATTCACCCTCCATCCTCCCATCCACCCTCCATCCACATATCCACCATCCATCCACCCATCCACCATCCATCCACCCATCCACTATCCATCCACCCATCCACCATCCATCCACCTATTCATGAAGCTATCCTCCCATTTATCCATCCATCCTGCAAAGAAGGAAGAGGAGGAAAAAATCCAATATGCTTTGAAGCTCTTACTAAGTTACCTTCACTTGTATGTGCTGTTCTATTTAACCTAATTCTATTTAACTGAAATATAACTCACATACCATAAAATTCACCATCTTAAAGTATACAGTTCCATAGTTTTTGTCTTTAGTATATTCACAAAATTGTGCAACTACTCCTTCTATGTAATTACAAAGCATGTGCATCACCTCAAAAAGAAGCCCCGTACCCATTAGCAGTCACTTGCCATTCAATTGTGCTATCTTTGCCTCACCAATTGCACTGTGACATAAAGACCTCTCCTCTCTTTGTGCTAGCCAAGTGGGAGAAGCCCTTTAACCCTGCAGAGACAAAGAAAAGCTTCCCATTCCTGGTGGGCAAGGGAACCACTGTGCACATCCCCATGATGCACCAGGTGGAGCAGTTGGCTTTTGGGGTGGATCCAGAGCTGAACTGCTTTGTGCTGCAGATGACCTACAAGGGAGATGCCATGGCCTTCTTTATCCTCCCTGGCAAGGGCAAGATGAAGCAGCTGGAACAGGCCTTGTCAGCCAGGACGCTGAGAAAGTGGAGCCACTCACTGCAGAAGAGGTGGGCATCTGTGTTAATTTGTTGAGACCTTAGGCAGGGGAAGTTGTACATCCAAGGATGGGGGGAAAGACTATGCTAACAGCTGCCAAATAATCACTCCTGCAAATTGAGCACCAACTGCATGCAGGATAGTGAACCTGGTGTTATGTATACGTGTTTTTACTTGAACTTCACTATCACCTGATGGATGAGAAGTCTTATCACTACCCATTTCACAGATAAGGAAGTAGAGGCTCCAAGAGGCTAGCCCAAGGTCATGTAGCTATTACATCACTGCAGAGCTATATTGTCATGGTAGCTATTATGTGCAACCAGAGCTTGCTCTAGAAGCCAGTCTGATATTGAATTTCATGGAATGATCCCGTAAAAGCAAACAAATTAAAAAAGCATTGATGCTCACCTATAAAATGAGGATGGTAAAATGACCAAATCCATAGGTTGTTGAAAAGATAAAATAAGTCACAATTTACAAAGTGCACTGGAAGACAGTAAGTGCTCAGTAAGTGTTAGCTAATAGTAACATTATTATTGGTTCTGTAATTATCATGGAGAGTATCGAAAGAATATGGAGACCATAAAGAGGATTAACTGTAAAAATAAAAGGAATTTCAAAGTTGGGTGTTCAGTCTCTTAGCAATATTTTCTTGGCATCATCAGCAACATTTCCGGGTGCTCAGTCTAGGAGGAGAGAAAGGACAGGATGGAGGATGAGTGTCATTCAAGAAAGACCATGGTCAGTGCCCCCGGAGGTTGTTGGGGGGCAAAGTGCAGAGTAGTTTCTGGGAAGAGACAGATCACTTTCAGCCAGGACTTGGGGACAGCTTTATGGAGGTGGTGGTGTTTAGCCACTAGTATGAGTAGGACATGAACACACAGAGGCTTGGGAAGGGTGGTTGGGGGAGAGGAAGTAGCACCAGCAAAGGTGCAGAGTGGAGGATCAAGAGATGCTGCAGGATATTTCATAGGTTTCTTCTCTTCTCAGACTGCACGAGGACGGGGTAGAGGATGAGGAGGTGGCAGGAAGGCTGGGGAGGGAGGGACAGGGCACAGAGCAGCAGATGGAACAGAGGGGGATGGAGACACCAAGGCAAGCACAGGGGACAGTGTCAGGGAGGAGAGAGCTGTCCACGGTGTCAGGTGTCACAAGACACCAGTCAGATGAGGGCCAAAAAGTGTCCATCTAACATCTTCCTGCTTTCCTTTCCGTGAGTCACTAAATACACGACCTCAGCCAAAGCACTAAAACTAAGCTTTACCATCTGTACTACAGGGGAACATTACTGAATGTGCCTGGGACAATGTCTGGCATGTAGTAAGTGTTCAACAAATGCCAGCTCTTCACTCTCGTTTCAGGGAAACCATAGCAAAGGAAGAAAACATTGTGCCAAACTCTAGGATTGAGCTGTCCAATGATAGGAGCCACTAGCCACATGTGGTTATTTCCATTTAAATTAACTAGAATTTGGTAACATTAAAAATTTAGCTCCTTGTTTGCACCTGCCACATTTCATGTTGCTCAAGAGCCACATGTGGCCAGCTGCTACCATATTGGAAAGCACAAATACAGAATCTTCCCAACATCACAGAAAGTTCTACTGGACTCTGCTGCGTGGGGGTGAGCAGGGTTGGTGTCAGGAAGGGCTGGTGGAGAGGCATGGTGGGCAGGGCAGCACCATCACTGTTTGATGTTTCCCATTGGTTTCTCCTTCTCTGGGCCGCCTTCTGACCTCTGCACACTACTTCATCGGGGGGCCTGCTGCCTTCTTGCATATATTCGGTGCTGGACTTGCCGAGCTGGGAGGCCTACTGCCAGGGCAACCTGGGTTGTTTGGCAAGGAGGTCTTGATTTTTTTAGCAGCAACCAACAAATACCTGGGGAAGAACCAGGTCTCCTAACATGCCACCTAGAAGCAGAGATGGAGACACCATGGGCTTGTGACCTTACCTCTTCCTTTTCCCTCCTCCACAGGTGGATAGAGGTGTTCATCCCCAAATTTTCCATTTCTGCCACCTATGATCTAGAAACCATCCTCCCGAAGATGGGCATCCGCAATGCCTTTGACAAAAGTGCTGATTTTTCTGGAATTGCAAAGAGAGACTCCCTGCAGGTTTCTAAAGTGAGTCGATTGAGGAGAATATTTGCGAGAAAGTCTGAGCTGGAAGTGTCTACAGAGATTGGTGAATGGAGCCCTCTCGTTTCTCTGATAAGGAACCAGTCCTGAGAGGTGAAATGATTTCTCTGTGGCCAGAGGGCTGAGTATTGTGGCTTCCAGGCCTGTGGCTTCACGGCCATCCTACAAAGAGAGAGAGAGAGAGAGAGAGAGAGAGAGAGAGAGAGATGACTTTTCAAACTTAGTATATTGGATCTAAAAGTCTAGATTTCTGATCCTCTTGAAATAAATCCCCACATGGGCAACAGTGAACCCAAACCCCTCCACAGCAGCGATAGCTGGGGCTGAGCCTGAACGCCCAGACTGTACCCTCCAGGTTACCAGGGCACCATGCTCTCATAGGAGGGCCCTCAGCTCACTGGGGTTACCTGCCCAACCCCTGCCTACATATGGGTTTCTGATCCCTGACCTAAAGTTTTGTTTTACAATGGATTATAATGGTCAGAAGTGGTCCCGGGACCACAGAAGGGGATCCTGTCATTGGTTTTCACGGAATGCAGAGAGGTCCCACTGGAATATGATGAGCGCAACAGACCTTTTCTCAAGGAAAATGCTTCTGTGCACCTATGAAGAACCATGCCTATAATCGCAGGACTCTCACAGCCTCCCTGGAGCTTAGGAGTGAGGGAACCCCAGGTTAAGAATCTCTTCTCTAGAAGACAAAGAAGGGATCCGACCTTTAGCAATACCAAAGCCACATGTGCCATGCAAGAACTGTAGCAATTGCTGTTGCTAGCAGGTACATGAGCATTTGCTTTGTATGATCTCCTTTAATTTACCCAACAACCTTGTGGCACACATGCAATTATTAGCACCTTTTATAGATTCGGAAACCGAAGCACTCAGCTTCTAAATAATTTCTGTAACAATAAGTGACAGAACTGAGCCTCAAACCTAGATCTTTCCGGTCTGTATTTGTAACCATTCAACTCCATGCGTAGAGGTCAATGGACCAGTAGCCAATACCAGTTGCAATTTATTGAGCAAAGATAATGCCAGACATGTGGCATACATAACCTTGAAGCCTCTCAAGGTAGGCGTCCCCATGCCCAGGCAAAAACACCAAAGCTCGGTTAAGTAGAGGTGTCTCCATGGGGGCCACTGATGTTTGTTTTTTCCTTGGCAGGCCACCCACAAGGCTGTGCTGGATGTCAGCGAGGAGGGTACTGAGGCCGTAGCAGCTACTGCCACCAAGCTCGTAGTCCGGTCGAAGGATGGCCCCTCTCACCCCACTGTCTTCTTTGACAGGGCCTTCCTGATGGTGATTATGAATGAAGCCACAGAGAGTATTCTCTTCCTAGGGAAAGTTGAAGACCCCACTAAGTCCTAGGAGGCAAATGGCCTGTTGACTGACTGCACATTGATAACACACAGGAAACAGCACACCACATGCCTCCTCTTATACTGAGGGTCTGCCTGACTCCAGCAGAGCTGCAAGTCTCAACACGGAACCGTCAGCAGAGACCCCAGTCACGAGCCAAGGCCCATTAACCCCAGTCGGTGCCCTTTCCTCAGATTCTCCCAGGTCTCTGGCTTCATGGAATATTGCTGGGCTGGCGTGTTGCCATTCCTTGAAACTCCTGGGACTGTTAACACATAGGTCAGGCACCTTTCTTGCAGAATTACAGTACTAAATTCAATAAAACTACAATGTGAATTCAGCTAGCAACAGGGCTCCCACATACCTGCAGGGTCTTAGTCTGAAAAATGATTTATTGGCAAAGTCAAAGTGGCTGGGCTGTCACCCCGTGACATTTCAGCAGCTGCATGAATTTGTTCAACAAAAACTTACTGAGCACCTAATACATGCTGGGGGTGAATTAAATGGACATGATCCCTGGCCTGTTGGGGCTAACTGGGGACACAGACCACCCAACAACAACAATAAAACCAACCCTTCAAACCCACATGGTTGTAACAGATTGGGATAAGTGCCAGAGGAGCCCCGAATGGGACGGTTGAGAGAGGAGGAGGGAAAGGGAGGCTTCCATGGCTGTGGAGGTCATGAGTCAGACACGAGCAGGTGTGCTGGAGGGACAGAAGAGGGGCCCTTGTGGCTGGAGCATCGTGTGTCACAGATGGAAGAAAAAAGGTGGGAACAAGGACACAGGCACAGAGAGGTCAGACGGTGTGGGGTGTTCTTGGCCAAAGAGGGAGGTCCGAGTTTGGTGGGGAGCGCCAGAAAACCAATGGACAACTAATGCATGGGCTACCATGGTCTCCCTGGGTGCCGTGGCACGATTTCCCATCTCAGCAGGGCTGGCTGCCTTCCTGACTCTGACGTTGTCATGCGTGTGTGTACACACACACATGCGCACACGCGCACACACATGCACGCACACACGCAGCCCCCTGGGTGCTCAGCCTCCTCCCTGCTGGCTGTAGTGACAACCGTCTGGCTCCCTTACTCTGAGTGCTGAGAGCGGGAGGCGGAACAGGCCACAGCAGCACCAAGGAAAAGCAGCGCGTGGCCTTCGCGCCGTCCCCACCTTGCTCCCTCCTCGCTGCCAGATGGGCGGCGCCTGCTCCTTCCTCCGCAGCCTGGTTACGCAGAATGTCCCCTGCAGCCTCCAGGGCAGCCTGAGCCTCCATCAGATCCAAAGACCCCTGCACCACCCCCTCCCGCCCCCACCTCACACTGGCAAAGGCCTTGAAGGAGCCCAGCCCCCCTACCCCCACACTCCCACTTTTCAAATGGCAGAGCTGAGACAAAAGGAGCAAAAACAACCAACCCAGGCCCCCGGGCAGAATGAGAACAAAAGCCCGGTTACTGGGGCTGCTGCTGACTTTCCCATGACGCCCCCACCTCACACTGGCAAAGGCCTTGAAGGAGCCCAGCCCCCCCACCCCCACACTCCCACTTTTCAAATGGCAGAGCTGAGACAAAAGGAGCAAAAACAACCAACCCAGGCCCCCGGGCAGAATGAGAACAAAAGCCCGGTTACTGGGGCTGCTGCTGACTTTCCCATGACGCTGCCTGTTCTGAGCTCCGTTTTATACCCACTGCTCTGCCCTCAGCCACGCCGTAAAGGCCGCAGTGGAGAAACCAACCCTGCTCTTCGCCCGGGAGCACAGTGGCCGGACCTGCTCCAGGCGCGGGCAGGTTCCCAAGAGCAGACAGGACATCCCGCAGCGGCAGGAGGAGATGGCAGGCGTGAAGAGCTGACTACCGGCACTTTGGTTGTTCCCAGCTAGCTCTTCTAGGAAGTATCGGGAGCCCCAATAGTTTGGGGTGGGTGAGGGCTTGTCAGCACCCCCACCTTGCTCCCAGGTGGCACCCTGCAAGGGCAGCAAGCCTCAGGTGTCTCCTGGTGCCCATTCCGGCTTGTGTTAACAAGCAGGTACGAGAACGGCCATCGCACATGGTCTGTCAGCTTGGTGAGCTCAGGGCTCTGTTTTTTGAGATAAGATGCGCTTTGCATTTTGTTTTGAAATTCATTTTAGTCAGGTGTGGCAAGATGACAGACACAGAGACACCTGCACTTGAAGGAAGAGCTTATTGCTTGGAGGACCCAAGAGGAGGGGCACGTCCCACCACACAGGGCCACAAGGGGGAGCCCTAGGAGTGGGAGGAGCAAAGGGGAAGGCTGGGCGGAGCCTCAGCACTGCCGTGGTGGGAAGTAGTTAGGTGGGGACATCCGCCTTGGGCAGGAAGTGAAACACAGAGCTGGGGGCTTGCGGTTGGAGGGTTTGTGAGATGGCGTGAATGTGATCGTCTGTGCCCGTGAGTTTGGCCCAAGATTTCAAGATGCAAAATCATTGGTCACAGAATATCAAGAATGATCATGACAGCATTATAGGAAGGTTCCACTCGAAGCAGAAGTGACAAATACAGACTGGCAGGCACCTCCAGCCCCACCCCATAGGAGAATCTGGCTCAGTCCCCAGGAGACTTTATGTTTACAAAGTCTCTGTTGGTGGCAACCACTGTGTCAACCTGAACGAGCCTTTGTTTCATGATGAAGCTTTGCTTGTATGATTAAATAGTTCTACTTTTTAGCAATTAACTTTACTGTTTTTTCATTATAAATAAGATAAGTTTCTTTGTAAGAAACTCGGAGAAAACAAAAATCTACAAAGAAGAACATAAAAGTCACCTCAAGTCCATCATCAAGATTCTCTCCTAAACAAATATTTGTTTTCATTCCCGGCTTCACTCTAGATACTTTGGTGACAGCAGAGAACATGAGTCAATGATTTCACTTTCTAGGGTTTTCAAAGTGGCAGGCAGAAAATTTTGTTCTACTTGCAGTATTTCCTTCCAATCTATTTTTTTTTTCTGTATACAAATACTTATTTGAAGTGGCAACAAAATGCTGGAACTGCTCAGGGTGGTGGAGAAGGCTCAGGCTGCGGTGTCAGATCCATCTTCTGAGTGGGGTCCTGCCCTCCGCACAGTAAGCAAGTTACTGAAGCTTGCAGGGCCTCAGTTTCCCGCCTGCGAGGTAGGGACGACTGTGCCCCTCTCGCATTCTTATCATGAGGGTGATCAGCAAAGAACACAGCTGGGATGGCACAAAGCTCCACACACGATCAGCAGCAGCGACCTTGCCACCACCCCGCCACCATCACCGTCGTCAGAACGTCCCCAAACCCAGCTGGGTCCCGAATCACAACGCGCTCCTCTGTTTGCAGGACAGGCGGCCAGCCGGGGCACATGCTTTGAGAAAAAGATCCCTTTCTGTTCACTACGAATTGTCTTCTCACCAGTTCCAGGAATTGCCCTGACAAACATTGACCAGGTTGCTGTGACCTCCAAACACCATTTCCCTGCGGGTAGGACGGACGCAGTGCTGAAGACCCAGGGCCCCGCTCGGTGACTCTGCTCCGTGAGTACTGTGCATGCCCAGATGGAGGTAAGGGGCAGCGGCTCTCCCTCCCTCCAGCCCTCCCCCCTCTCTTTCCCCCTCTCTGGCTGGGCTGGTGGCAAGGATGACAGAAGTAAGTCCCCTGAAGAAAAAAATGCAACCACGTACTGCCTCTGAATCCTGAAGGAGGAACCTCAGGTTTTCAATCACTTTTTATGGAAAATGTGGCCTTCAGGAGTTTTGAGAGGGGGAAACCCAAGTATTCCTGGCAGTTAGACAAAAAAAAAACAAAACAGAACAATACAACCCAAAGCAACATGATAATGTTGCTGTAGCAAATTTACCAGAAACTCAGCTATGCGGAAAGGGTTGTGCTCAGGAGCCCTGCTCTGGGACCTGAACCTGACTCCTGCCTCTCGCAGGTGTTGTCCTGACGCTGAGTCAGCTGTCCCACGTGTGCAGCAGGGATGATAAGGTAACCCTAAGGCTTAAGGCTCTCATAAGGATTAAACTAAGTAAGATAGAGCTAGTGTTTCTCAACAAAGGCACTACTGGCATTTGGGTGGGTCCACTCTTCATTGCAGGTGACTGCTCAGGGCATGTCAAGAGCTTTGGGCTGTCTGACTCGCCCCCACTGACCTCCGGTCTCACCCCTCCTCCAGTTGCTGAGATGACCCGAATTACACCCCCCCCACCACCACCCCTCCCTCACTTTTTTGGGAGCCAGTGATACAATAGATCTAATATCCCCATCACTTAATAAACTCTTATTAAGTGAGCAATTACAATTAATGCATAGAGTTCTTAATTTTCCCCTGGGATCTTTCCTGAAAAAAGAATTAATAAGGAAATTGGATATCATTACACACAACTGTGGTAGAAGAGGAAGAAAACTGGTGCCTTTATACCTCGTATGTCGTATAATCCTTACACATCCCCCCCAGGAGGTAGGCATTACCGATTGTGCGTTACAACATCAGAGAGGTTCCTTTGCACAGTGTCACACAGTGAGTTACTGCAGAGCCTTGATTCAAACCTGGGCCCCTGACTTCCAATTCAGTCCTCTGTGGGAAACAGATCCTTCTGCAATCTGAGAGTCCTTGGGGTACAGTTCGATGGAAAACGGTGCTGAATTCAATAGGACAAAAAGAATACACTAGAAATAGTTTCATCACAGTTGCTTTCTTATTTTATTCAGGGGCAGGCCAATTTTTAAATTGTTTTTCATCTTCCAAATTTTCCAGCAAAAAACATATCCTAAGTGTAAGGAAACTGTCATTAAATGAGCCCACACTGAGCTGTGCTGGAGGAGGGAGGACGTGGCCTTGGGGACATGCCCACAGGACTTTGACCAGCAAACACATTTCAACACGACAGATAAACGAGGCTGCATTTGTCCCTCGCTTCAGCTGGCCTTTGGGTTTCGCAGGGTGTTTAGGACACCAAGGGCTATAAACCGCCTGCAAAAATATGATCTCTCCTGCCTGGTCAGAGCACTTGTAATTGATCCAGAAGTCACTGG